GGTTGAATACGAATAATTAATTAATCTTCTGTTATCATCAACTATTATATAAATAATTAAAAATAAATACGTTACCTGGGCTAGTTAAACTATTAATATTTTACCTAAAATTGCCAAATTTGTAATTTCCACGATTTCACTGATACCGATAATTATTATGGACATGAAATATTCATCACATTAATTACAATCTAGCATGAAAAGGTTGTTTACCCTATTGTATAACCCGCCCTTTCTGCCCTAATTGGACTGTGAACCCGATAAACAAACAACATTACATTAATTAATAAATTAATGAGTGATCATTAAAAATATTTAAAAAATATCAAATATTAGTTCATTTTTAATTATTAGGAAATTAGTAGGTCATTTCTAGATTCATGGTGATATATATATTCTAGTGAGGGTTTTAAAACGATAATAAATTCCACCCGATTTCCCCCTCGAAGTCCTGTATATTGCACCCAAGCTTAAATTTTGTTAATAAAAATGTTTCATTTTTATATTAGGTGGTCTTACAAGATAAATTCGTTTACTGACTTCGTTGCCATAGTTGTTTTTTTCTTTCAAATTCAATGAAAACCTTTGAATCGGTATCAGCGTGGTTTTCACAGAAATCATCAAATAATGTATTTAAAAACCGTCTTCTTATAAAACAAGTTCTTGAAAAAACTCGCCTTTTTTACTTAAAAAAATAAAAGTAAAAATTATATCAAACAAGATGGTAATCAAGTGATGTATGTAGTAGCTGTTTTTAGTGGGTGCTGGGTGTTATACTCAAATACTGACCTGTTTTAGTATCAAAGAATGCTATTACTACTTCAGTTGATGTCAAACGATTGACTAAAATAGTGATTGAATTAGCAATTTCCGTAAAATAATTGGAACTCCGTACTCAGAGTAGCATTTGCCCATCTCTGCTTGGCAGGCGCTCTAAATTATTCTCGACTAATAGCATATACCATCCAGAAATTACTAATGAAACCTTTATGGATTTACGGGATAGAGCTATGGGACACTGCAAAAACTTCTAGTATCCTTAAAAATTAAAAAGGCTGGCTACACAAAGACTTGGACATCCAAACGGTTTCAGATACAAAACAAACCCATTAGCTCTTGCACTTTTTTCCATCTCGAACCCTTACAACCCCTCCCTACGAATTTTAAGACTGTGGCCAGGAGAGATTTTCTTACTTAATATGTTAATTACCGAACAAATATGTAATATGCACAGATATGCTTATTGCAACTTTACATATTGCAAATTTCAAATCTGCCTACCTTACATACTCGTTTGAATAAATAAATAAAAATTGCTTCTCTCTTCTCGTGAATGCAACCAAGAGAAAACAAGAAGATAAATAAAAGTTGAAGCAGAAATAGAATTAGGAAAAATAAAATGCTTCTCTAACTATGGTAAGGCTACCGGCTTTTCGTGCGGAACCGATAATCATGAAAGCTCCTTTACACACTTCTTTACGAAATTGCAACTAGATTATCATCTTCATCAATGTCCTCAGGAGGTTTAGCAATAATACAGTGTACTCATATTAATAGGACAATAATATAAAGTAACAGTCAATCTAGGAAAACTGTAGAAAATTACTCCAGGACAGCTTCCTCTGTCAGCAGAAACTTAGACACACTCACACATTTGTATTTGTTGGTATAAGGGATTTCTCCAACTTCAGTAATTTTTATAGATGTTCGTCCCTCCTAGCTTTCCCGATATATGATATCGCAGAATAAAAAAAGAATTGTATGTAACGCATAATAATATGAAATAATTATTTAAAGCATAATTTTCAACATAACCCAAACAGAAGAGTCAGACATTGAAATGCGGGTTCTCTAAAATATAGCATTATAAATAAAACTTAACATCTGTCGCATTATAAAAAATAAAAACGAAACTCCCAGTTTGATTTTGTTTAAATGCTTATAAGATAGCTTATGGCAGTGGTAAATCTGATAATTCTGTTCACCAAATTTTCAATAAAAAGAAATATTGAATACTAATGACTTGCGATTTATGTACAAGAGAATACATCATCGATTTGCGTAAATTTTACAGTTGAGTATTAAATCAGACACGGTAATTTCTAAAATAACAAGAACAAATAAACGTTCAGTACAACATAAGATCCTATCATCAAATACGATTATTTTAACATATTGATAATTGTGAGAATTAATTCTCCTGGATCTTCCATACGCAATCCATGCAATAGCGTGTCTTGTTGATAACAGATTAGCTAATTATTTAGTAGAAAATGTTCATTAAATTTTTCTCAAAAGACTGTGGTAATCATGTTTCTTAATCAATCATATGGGGGAATTCCTAATGGTATGTGATATGTTAGGACATCAGATAAAAACGCATGTTATGATTTACATCTGAACTTTTTTTTATTTAAGGGTTTTTCTTCATAAATTGAAGTTTCCCTCAGCCAAAGTCCTCCCTAAGTCGGTTTCTCCACTTCTCCCTGTCCATCGAGGAAACGTCTCTCCGTCAACCCTCAAGACTCGCCATACTCTCATCCACAACTCTTCACCTGACACCAGTAGCCCAGTAATCATGTACATCGTAAGGTGCATTGAATGGGGGTCGAAGGTTTCTTTTTCTTGTATGGAATGTGACTGAGATGCAAAATGCAAAAAAAGGGAAGGTTTGATGGACGAGGTAGGCCGTTTTCCAGACTCACTTCCATGTACCTCTCTCTCACATCCTTATAAAATTCATATCGCTGTGTTCCTTATAACTATTTATTTTTGAAAAACCAATGGGTTTTAATAAAATTAATAAATAAATATTATTAATTAATAAAAATGAAAATTAATCTCTCCCTCTTACTCCAAACTTTCCCTCCCCCCTCAACCCTCTTTCAAAATGTTAAATGAATAAAAATTTACTTCAATGAATCATAGAAGATTGGTTATTGATGATATAAAGACTGATGATATATGATTATTGATAAAGTGCGTATGATGAAATAGGAAAAATAGCTTAAAAATTTCTAAAATGAGAAAATCTGTATCTCATAAATTGTTTGATTTACTGAGCCTGTTCTGATGTTATGTTAAAGTATATTTAATATTGTTTAAAACTGTATAGTATGTTTTTTTCGAAAACGTGCAAATTGATTCTTGTGGGAGTTGATTCTCATGGGTACGGAATGCATTTAATCATATGTCTTATACGGGATTTTCCCGGGACGGAGGGTGAGGGCGGGAAATTTAAAATCCCCTTTGGAACCGGGACGCGAACTCGTACTTATTTAAATCATGAGATCAAGTTATGAAATTTCGGTTATTTGGTTGTCGGGCAACTCGCGGTGCTTACAAACGCGTTAGCCTATTCGGTCACCCTGCCCTCTGGTACCGTATTAGCTAATGATCATTAATTTTTTCTCAAAATATTGGGGTAATCCTGTTTCTTAATCGATCTTATGGGGGAACTCCTAATGGCATCAGGTCAGACGTTAGGATATCATAGAAAGAACATGCTCTGAGATACGTCTGACCTTTTTCAACACCACGCTATTTCTTAATTTTCAAGTAAAGAGATTACTTTTTGTACATGTGCTTAGTAAGGTAATTAAAATTTAGTTCGTCAGAGGAACAAGGAACTATGAACATATATTAGACTTAGGTATCAGTTGTGCCAAAATATGATTCAAAGTGCTCAATACAATTTTTATACATATAAAAATTTAGTTATACATATATGTTTTGTTATTTTTTGTATCTGTGGCAAATACAAGAACCTTCTGAAAAACAATTTTTTGAAAAATTGTCAAATTTCCGACAATGTTAAAAAAATCTTTTGAATCAAACTAGTTTTAGCAAAGTTACAGTGTATTTAGCCTTATAAGCTGATTTTAATGATGGTTCGCGTGTCCGTTAACATTGTTTTAGTTCGTCTAAAAAATCGTACTCTTCTCATTTCTCTGACGGTTTTCAGAAAAATTACTTTAATTTAATTTTTTTTTATTGACATTTTCAAAATTGTCTAAAATCGATAGGAAAGTCATTTGAGTGGATACTCCAGACTTTTAAATTGATAATTCACATCTGTTGTCATTATTTACCGTACATTTTAATGATTCATACTTCTATTATAATGGGGGGGAAACGAACATGTATATTAATTCCGTCTTAAAAATTAATCTTATTTAAAAGTAAAGGGAAAAAATTGTCAAATTTTCATTTACGATTGAGACTTTGAATTATAAGCCTTTAAAAATGAGTTCAGGTTAATTATTCTTATTAATTATTTAGTTGAGATTGGCAAAAATGGATGATCTTTGTACAACTACAAATTTGCAGTAATAATGGTATAAATATATTAATTACCTATTGGCATTATTTTTATGTATTTTGAAAAAATAAATATCATGAATTGTTACTTTTTCTGGATATTTTGCTGTTCAATCTGCGATCCAGTGCAAGGCAACCGGAGCAATTGTGTCGGGTCGCCAGCCAATCTTTAGGAGCGGTCCCCACTTGTTAGAAGTTAAAAAATAATATAAAAATAATCAAATTTAGCCTATTAATAAAGCAATTGTATTAGAGAAATATTTAATGAAATAAAATTCAAATATTACATAATATGAAAAGCTTAAGAAATGAATTTTTATAGGGGAGAGAGATTACGTCATTACCCGGGAGCGCCGAATGTCTGAGGCCCGTGTTCTGCTGTGATCTGTAACCGAAATACCATCAAACAAGATCATTTTGTTTCTCTTAAACTTTTCAGTTTTCCTGTTCTACATAATTAGTGCTGTGATGTATTTTGAATTATTTTATATGATCACCAAGTCATTGAGAAAATGCTGTTGTAAAAATAAGTTTAAATGTTTTTAATTGACAATCTCTAATTATGTTATCGTGCGTGACATATATGAAAATAGTCATTAAAGATATGTATTAATTCATCCATACTATGTAGAATTTCTATTTAACTATCATATTTCGAGAGGTAAAAAGGTTTTATTATCTCATGGTCAGTCACGTGGAAAAAGATGATCAGTTAATAATATTAGACAGCAGTATTTTGTAGTAGACTAATAGGAAAACTATTAGAAAAAAATAATCGAAATTTCCACGTAGTTAATATATTTTGGAATCTGTTGGAAAGTTATTGAAATCGGAAGAATACGTCAGAGGTCTCCTCATCCCATGCCGGTTTAAAAAGACCTACTCCCATTGGTTTGGACGCATCAGCTGACTCTGCCAGTCTTCAACCTACTTACGTTTTACTACTAAGTTCGAAATGATTTTAGTCAAAAACTCACATGATCGCTTAGTAGTAACACAGATAACCAAAGTCTCATCAAAAAGATATCAAGAATAGTTTTCTTTTGGATTAATCCTCATTAAACAGGCTACTTTTAAATATTGATCATTCGACTAACGGTTCCGGCATATTTCTGAATGCTTCTAGTTACCTGGCTTGTTTAAGATATTTAAGCAACCCATACGGATTTTAGGTAAGTCTATTGTTTCAAATAGCGTTCTTTATTAGTCTTGTTAAATAAGAACTCGTTATCAGTGGCAATTAATTGACCAATTTCGAATGTTGCATAAGATTACATTTTGTTCTTTAGTTATACAATTCTTTATTGAAATAATATTCTATTTATAACGATTTACAATTCTAGATTTGATTATTTAGTTATCATCTTTTGGTTACTGCACAAATTTTACTTAGTGTGGGCTCACAACTGACTCATTTCTCTCTACAAAATTTAAAAGGATCCATTAGTGATTACTTGTTTACTAAGTAGTTTATTTTCTGGTGATTGTAACAGACTAAGTATAAAAAGTGTCTTTAGAGTTCATTAACCAAAGTTATAATCAAAACAGTTCTTTCATGGTTTTAGGGTTATTTTATCGCAATATTTACTTTCATATGTTTCAAGAATAATTAATATTGGAGTATAGTTATGGTATACATTCTGTGCTTTCTGAACATGTAAGTGATTTATAGATGGTTGTGAAGTATAACTACTCTTTTTTTCATAACATGATGCTCATGTCTTTTATATATTTATATTGTTTTTAGTTAGTATAATATATCTCACATTTCAGTCATCAGTAACTTGTTGTTATTTGTTTACAGTATGATATAGAAATGTCCCGCAAACGGTGTAGAGAAGATACAATGGTTGAAACTAAGAACACATTGGATCTGATGGCTCTCCCTCAGGTTAGTTTCAGTTACATGATATTTTTATTAATATTCCACTGTTTCTTCCATGTTACATTCATATATTTGGCAGTTCCTTATGTATGACCTTACTGTGGCCATGAAGATATATTTAAATAAAATTACTATTGGTATTAGTTACTACTGACACAATTTTGTGATTTCTTTCTTAAATCTGTTAATTTCATTCTCTCATTGAAATAACTGGGACAAATAATAAAGTTGGTTGTATAGTACGTTAGTAGATGTGTAACTGTTAAAATTATTGCCCCTGTTATCTAACGAAAATGTTATTCTTCTTTTTCAAAAACTGGTCAATCCTAATTTCAATTAGTATATTTTTGCTCGAGAATATGAATATAGTATTTTCAGTTCATGTTTTGTTTGTAAATTGTTTTATCTCAACTTCTGTCATGCCTTTTGGTCATTATTTCTTACTTCTTTGTATCCAAAATATATTGAAAGATTGTCATCTATTAATTGGTACTTTTATGCCTTTATCTGTTGTTTTCCTCTAAATGTGTAATGCATTGTTTAAAGATATTTGCTCTATATTAGTTGTAGATACAAGATACAAATTTAAATTTTTAATTGTTTGCCTCGTGAAACCCATATTTTTTCAACTTACATAGTCAACTATAAATAACTCCAGTACAAAATTATTAATAACTGTACGTTTAATAATGTGATATTTGCTATTTTGTTTTTGTCATTGTCTTCAGTCAGAACTAAAAAGTTAGTTCTATCACAAATAATTAATCCGAGTTTTTTAAAATTCTATTGTGTTATTTATTTGTCACTAAATTTATGCCAACCAAATAAACATTTCCGCTTGGGATTTAAATTTTGTCTTGGCTTCTTAAAGCACAAATAGGTATGATTGTCTATAATGTTCTTTCAAGGCTAGAAGAAATTAGTCAAGGAAGGAAAATTCTTTGCAACTACTTTAAGAATCTCTCCATAGATTTAAGATGAATAAGAATTTATTAAATTTCCTCTATTATATGTTCATTTTATGGATGGCCTAGGATATTTGTTAGTTTGCTGATTTAGAAGTTATTAAAATAGACGAATGAAATAACAACAAATGATGATTATTTATAAAGTTTAATTTTTTTTTCTTATGAACCATTAAAGTTGCAGAAACATTTTGTATTAAGTGAATATATGTTATTGAAAATACTTTAGGTTCTATTTTATTTTATAAAATCTTTTGAGTTACTTATTATAAAGAGAAAACATTCTTCTTTCTTAATTTTACATAACAGTTAATGTCGGACCTGATTGGAAACTTAATGAAGTTTTAGTCATGTAACTTAATACTTAAAAGTGTAGAAATGTCTTTTGACCCTATAAAATAACTTAATATTTACAAGAAAATAAAATTCAGTCATCCCCCAAGATTTTGGTAAAACTTTAATTAAATTATATATAACATAACCTATTTCATTAAATACAACTACACTTGAAACTAATGTACTATAATGTTATACTCTTTGATATGGGGGAATTGACTGTGGTTACTGACTCTAACGTGATCTACTGTCTCGCTTTTGAACTACAAAATTGTAACCAAGTTATTCTGGATTAGTGCATGTTTATAGATCATTTGATAAAAAGAAAGAAAGAAAGAATTTGACCTTTTCAACGCTTAGATTACATTTTTCAAAAATCCTTAAAGTATTTATTACATCTGAACATCTCATGATATATAAGGATATCTTTGTAAAAAATTTCTGACTAAGAGAGTTAAAACTAAGCCTGGCGTTCGTATTTTTAGACTTCCACAATAATAATTGACATACTGATAGTGCTCTAAACTCATCCTTTTTATAAAATGTATAGTATTATTCATGAATTGAATTATGTTTATATAAAATGAAAATATTTGTCACTCATTAATATGTCTTATCTGTTATGTGGAATATGCCAAGACCACACTATAAATCTTACCACTATCTTTGATGTATTTTCAATTAATCTCTTTTTTTTATCCTGGTTTTTTTAAGACAGCAAATAAAATACTTTTCCTGTTAAATTTTCGATATCATTTCTAGGATTGGCTAATGTGAATAAAACTTTTCATTATTTTGTAATTACATCTTCAATGCATCAATGAAATGAGGAAAGAGAATCCAGTCCTGATGCGGGACCATTTTATCCCCATTAGCCGTATGATATCTGTACTGAACAATGTTCTCTTTTCTCTTTACACTTTAGCTCTGTGTGGATTGAAATTTTGGTGAGAAAAACTAAAGGTACATCACAAAGCGAATATTTCATTTACATTTACTGATAGACCCAAGAGGCCAAACAAATTACCTGATGAAACTATTAAACGTCTTTAGTTGACGAACTATTTCCTTTACTATTTATAGGTCTCACTTTTTTCAAACTTTTCAATAAATGCCATAAATATAAGGAAATTTTAGACCTATCAGTTGTTTTATATGTGTATAATAACGAATAAATAGGTCCCTATATAAATTTATTAAACTCAGCGTCCTTTTTTAGTATCTTCATCATCATCATATCATATATGATGGTTATAGTCTATTAACTAATGGTGGTGAGAATATTAATTTTCATTTTGAGAAAAAAAGAAATTATTAATTATAATGAGAATTTCCTAAGTGAAATTTAATAGGAGAAACCAATTAGTTATTGGTATATGATGTTTGATTATCAGTAATTGGTAAATAAATTAGTCTAAATTTTATATTTGCTGTCTTATACATCTTAAAATGATTTACACCATTATGCAAGTTGATAAATAAACTTTACTTTACTATAAACCTCCAATATGACCCATGGGCCATGGTTACTGATTACAGAAAAATTTTGTTCTATAAATAAATCCTTCAGTTGTGATAGAGCCTTCTATGAGAAACAACTCATACAATAAATGTAGTAGTAACGTCGTGTTTGAGTGATTTACTAAATTTTATATATATTTTGGAGGCTCCTGCTGTAAACAATTCAAAAGAGCTCACTTTTTCTTTCAACTGTTTTACCCTTCTTAATTGATTTTTGGAAATGATATTCTGGATTTAATCCTGTCACAGAACGTATATATACTTAAGCATACTTATATTTTTGTTGTAATTCCTAAAATTACTACTAAATTTTTTGTTGTGTTCCTCCTCGAGAATTTAATTCTTGAGAAGGAACACACAGCCATATATACAGGAGCTGAGGTAGCCTTGTGGGCTAAGGCGCTTGCAATAGGTAATCAAAGTTAAGCAACGCCAAGCATGGGTGGGTGACCATTCACCAAGGAAAGCCACTCTGCCTGAGATTTCTCCCTCCCCCTCCTCCGGGTATGTGACGCCCATCAGCCTTCTGGAGGCAACTCACACCGACCGGGCATGGGATTGATGACCCTACCTCGTACTTTAAATCGGGAATCGGGATGTGATTTGAGACCTCACTCGCAGTCAGAGATCTTCATGGTCTGTAGCGCCAACCGAAAAAATATACATAGATATATATAATCAGATTTCAAATTGTATTTTCTTTTTTTGCTGATGTGAAAGTATTTTTATCTGTTTTTTACAAAATCTTAAGATAGCAAACTGAAAGTTTCCCTACTTTCTCCCACAAGTTGTCTATTTTTTAAATGTTGGTTCTTATATTTTGTTTAAATTTGGCTGTTAGGTTTAGGTTTACACCTGTTGTGACTACATGTTTCTGTCGTAATGCTGAAAAAAGATTGAATCTTGCACCCAAATATAATGATCGAATTTTCATATAGTGTTTTAAAAAATTATATGATGTGAACTTAAGTATTATTTAAAATGTAATGCAAATGCTATGAGTGTTTTTTATTGAAGCATATTTTGGTTAGTAGCATGTTATACTGTAATGGAGAATATAAATAATAAATCATAAAAGTAATATTTCAAAACTAACTTCCTTGGACTACAATCCTCTAATCAGTCATGACCGCTAAAATCAGCCTCCGTCATATATATATGGCATCATGCACTTGGGGGAGATGGGCATCCCTGTTGTTGACCTCATATATTGTTTCTGAAATTAAAAAAAAAAAAAAATTGATTATGAAATAGAAGGAAAACATATCATAACTTTCATTTGCCACTCTACTTTGCGTAAACAAATATTTTTTAATGAATTAATAAACTTTAAGGAGATTACTTGAACCATAAAAATAAATCTAGGACAATTATTGTAAAATACCATAATCGTGTGCACTATATACTACTAAAAATAAATTTGATATGTCTTCATTATGGAAATTCCATCAAGGTTGCATGGAAATATTTATTTTTATTCAATAATATAAAAGTAGAAATTATAGAATACTGTAAAGATTAGGTGTTAGTCATTAGGTTTTCGTCACTTCGTGCTAACTTATTTTTAAAATATCCTGCTTTTCAACGTTATATTAAACATTTATATTGTTCTTCTAATTTCCTAAAATTTATTTTCTATTTAGTTAACTATTTATCCAATTGTTAAAGCTTCTAACGATGAGAGGCGGTTAATTTTTTTAAATTAACAAAATTAAATTATTATTTAAATTTTGAAAATTCCTAACTTAACATATTTTAGGCTATTTCAATTGAGATGAGATCTATCTGATATTAAACAATATTAAATTATACATTGATATAAGATTTAATCAATATTTTTAGAGCTGTTTTTGAGAAAGTTATAAAATCTATGATATAAAATAGCATTTCTAGTTAGTCAAATTTGTCTAAATTGTTGCTGTAACATCACAGCATTTATCATATCTCCCCTAAATACTTAATTTCAGTTTAATTAGTTTTTTGGTTTTTAATTAGACTTTTTATATACACAGAGATGCAAATACAGACCATTTAGCAAGATTTGGTTATTAATACTCCAGAAACCTCAAAATGTGTTTTTTCGTTGAAAACTCGGATTCAAAATCTTTTCACAACGCAATCTTTTTCCGTACTATGTATTACAGATAAAGATAAGTAAAAGAAAGTTTTTTCTAGTATTAATTT